GTGGGGTAACACACAATTATTGGTGCGTTTCTGCAGTCTGCTTTAGAAAAACAAGAATCTGGAGTACTGAGATCTCTTAAGACATTTCAATGCATTGCATCACATAGTGTCCAAAAATTCAATTTGCATGTGTGTGCTGCATGTCTCTGTCAATTTTCTAAAAAGTGTGCATGCATGTATGAAGCTTTACTTTGCTCTGCAGGAAGCCACACTCCAGCTCAGTGATTCTCACCTTCTGGAGTGACAGAAAACAGCATAAGTAAGTGAGGGCACAGTTTTGTGCAGGGATATTGCATGACCTTTTTAAAAGCCAGGAGGAGTCATTAGAGATACAAAGACTCAGCAAGAGTTAATCTCTTGTCCCTTTATGTCTGCCTGTGGAGACAGATGACGGTGCCTAGGAGCACCGGTGAGAAACCAGCCACTGTTCTCACAGAAATAGTTGCTCCTGCTCAGCGCGTACACCCAGATGCTGAGCTGGATATGAAAACAAAGGATATGTCAAAGATTATGAGCAACAACTAGATGGCTTCTTGAAATCTTACTGAATAACTTAACCTAACTAATACTCTCTCCAAGAGGGTTGATTGTCCTGTTGGTGAGTTTCATTGATGCCAGTTAACATGAAAAAGCCAGTGGTATGTGACCCAGCAGCAGGTGTGGCATCTGTCAAACCTTTGACCTTGGACAGAAAACAATGACACCCAGATGCTATCTCTGCTTTTGTCCTCTTCAACTTCATATAAAGCACAGAAGCAGGAGCTGCCACAGAAAATAACACCGGGCATGTTGACATGTGAGCTTAAATACTCAGAAAAACGAGTGGAATCCAAAAAGACCAGAAAAATATATATAATGTGTATTGTGACGGTTTTATTACTATATAACCCTGATTCTGTTTTAAGGCAACTTTTAGCATGCGGTTATAGCAAAAGATGCCTTTTTAACACTGCGTATCTGAAAATTGATGTGCAGCGGTTTGTAAAGTTGTCTGTGTCTGCATTTCAAATGTGTGGTGAAGCTCAGATTTAGACAGCCCTGTTACACCCTGTAATTCTACTCAAACCTCACTGCTCTGGAAGGAGAGTGACAGGAAGAGGAGCAGGCCGGGGCGCCAGTTTTCACTGGCACCACAAAGATGTTTGTGTGTGCGTGTGCGAATATTTGTCTGTGTTGGTTTATCTAAATGTGAAAACAGACTCTAAGCAGCATAATGGGTCAATTAAGGATGATTGATGCCGTGTTTTAGTGTGGGGGAAAGGTTACATTTAGTGGTTGACGTTACTTTTGGACTAAACTACCTTTTTTTACTACTAGAGCGTACATTAAGAGTTTATATTTGCCTTTCACACAGCTCTAGATGTGTGCGTTCGTTTGTGTTGTATAATCCCAACTACAAACCAAAGACATTTTCCTCTTCTTTCATTCCAGCAGCTGCAAAACAGCCTGACCAAGACCAATAATGCATGATTTGTATAAAGAAGGAGACACCAAATTGATTATGCACTGTGTTGTGACTACAATACTGGCAAAAGAGCCAACCGCCATTTATATTTTGCCAGGAAAAATATATGGAAATACATATGCCCCTACCAACCACAACCTGGGACTACCTCAAGTAGACTAGTATACTATTTTCCAGGGAACACTGTTGGAACACTTTATTTTATTTTATTTTTTGTCTATCCTGTTACCTATTTAATATTACCTTATTGTTAGGGCTGTTTTTGTTGTGCATCTGCACTTTATTGTTGTCAATGTCTACGCATGGGACAGTGTGAAACGTAATTTCAATTCCTTTGTATGGCAAGTACATTTGAAGAAATTGACAAATAAAGTTTTCTATTCTATTCTATTCTATATGCAAACATGGAGTTTGTACAATTCTAACGAGCTTGAAAGTGAATATTTGATCTATTTGGCACCTCTGTTCTTTAAGTAGTCTTCAGGAATAGTTCTCCAGGTTTCTTGAAGGACATCAAAGCTCTTCTTTAGATGCTGGCTGCCTTTTGTTTTGTTGCTTTAATAATGTTGAGGTCCGGCCTCTGGGGAGGCCAATCCATGACTGATGTCAGTGTTTATTGTGTGTTTGGTATCACTGTCATGCTGACAAATGAATGAGACACGTTCTAAATTGTATTGCATACTGGAGAAAAGTCTGACGGTACTTTTCTGTGTCCAACATTTTTGACGAGAATTGAAATATTTCAATTTCTATTATCTTTAGCACTTTTCATAAATTCAACTAAAGAAATGGGAACAAATTATTTTTAACAGGCTGCTAATTACAAAGTGTCTAAAAGTTATATTTTTGATAAGTTGACACAACACTGGTACAAACCTCGATGTGCCACGTCAGGTACAAGGACTGGACTAAAAATGAGTGAAAAGCAGCAAATGTCTAAAGAAAACTGTCACAGACTTTCAGGAAACCCAGAGAACTATTGCTCAAGACGCCTTTAATAAAGTATAACAAAGTCTGGCTCCTTGGAAGCTAAATATAAATGATGTGTGGCACAAGACCTTTGAGCAGCACTGTGTATAATAATATTTTACAAAAGCAGGTCAGTTTAAGGCAATTAAAAATACCACCATAACAAGAAGGTTATCAGATGTCATCCCACACATTGTTTTTCTAGGCATGATGTTTGCTTTGCTAAGAATTTCTTCCTTCACTCTGATGTTCTGGTGATTATCGATGTTGATTCCATGCTAAACAGGAAATTGCATATAACTGTGGGATATTTACAGGATCTCATTAAGCTATGCTGGAGTTCCCACATTAGAGGAAAAGCAAGTGTATTTCTTGGTCGTGGGAATCTAATCAGACTTTTTTTTTTTTACAAATCTATCTTCCTCTTTACCAGTAGGGAATAGTTGCTACACATCATTTAATATTAACCTAATATTAATTTCTCACTTATAAACTTTATCTTAAAGTATCCCTTATCAGCAGCCTGATCAGTCAGGGGATCTTCTGTGACAATCTTCTGCCTCCAAAGGAAGCATAAATCACATGTCATCAGATTTAAATCTGTCTCCGTTACTCATGCCCCCGCGGCTCGCTTTCTCTGCCTCTGTTTTCTAAAAAAGCCAGAAAAGATGCATTCTTTGTGGACACAAAGGGGTGATTCTGTGCAGCCGCCAGCCTTGAGTCATCGGTGGGGTCAGCTGCCGGGTGAAGAGCCAGGCCTGTTGTGTTCTGAGCAGGAGCGGAGAAGAACAACACAGATGAACCCAACAGAAATCAGCATTTTTAAGATGTTTTCATTCTGTTCTGGGTTCTTATTGCTTTAGCTGAAGTTGTTGGATCAGTACCGTATTCTTGTGGTCACGATAGTGCATTTTGCTTTTCAGATGTTGAAGCATGCACTTTTTTTTTATTCATAAAAGAAAAAATCAAAGAGAAGAAAAATTAAATATGTGTAGTGAACGTAGGAACTCTACGCAGACTATTTCTGTCTGACTGAACTTCCACAATATCACACATTCCGGCATGAACGAACTGTGGGGTCCGGTGCCGTCATCAATGGCTCCTCTGTGCCGCTGTCACCTCAGAAACAACAGGAATGCTCATTCACTGCAGCCCTCCCTCACGCCGCAGGCCAAGGCCTGAACCGAGAGTTAGGGGAATGGATTGGGCTGTCCGAAGAAGAAAGCTGATGACAGACAGGAAGGCGAAGTGAAAGAGAAAAGGGAAGAATAGAGAAGATAAAAGAGTGGGCAAGAGGGAGCACAAAAGAGGGGGTCAGAAAGGCAGACAGGCAGAGGCAAGATATGACTTTTTGACCTATAAGTACAGACGGGTGAAACTGAAAGTCAAAGAAAAATGATACACCAGAAGATAGAAAATAGAGGGAGGAAGCTGATTTCCCCATGTAGCTTCCTGTAATGTATGGGTGTATGAATGCATATTTTGGTATCTCATTTACAATCCCCTGTCTGCATTAACCCACGCTGTCTCTCAGCAGGACCACAGAGACCCCAAGCCCAGAACTGGGGACGGAAAATAACCTTCTTCTGCCGGCCCCCTGCATTTCCTCTCTGAATTATACTGTAACTGAAGGACTCATTTCACATGACAATCCCTGAGTGAGCCCACTTTAAGTGTTAGCTGCCCTGAAAAAGAAAAGGGTCTATAGGTGGCTTTATAACCATATGTTTTGTTTATGTCATACATGTTAAAGATGTACTTAAATTTAGTTTAAAGGGGAAACGAACACAGATGTCATAAAGTCTTTTACTGCTCCTCTACTTCCTTATATATGACTGGTAATTGCCACCTATCTATACACTGATTTTCCACACCTCCACACCTTCCACAGGCTTGTTATCTCTTTTCTTCCTGGATGGATGAGTCAGGGTTCCCACTTATTTGAAACCCTGATTCATTAGACTATATTTACTAAGAGATTTGGAAGATACCGAGGACAAGCCCAAACAAAAGTCTGAAAAAAGTCTGAGAATGAAACTGTGCGTCACTGTATTTTGGGCAAAATGCTCTCTCAGGTGTCCCTTGTCTTGGTGACTAACCTGCTGAGCTCCAGGGCAGGGCTTCCTGCAATAACAACCGTCTCCCCTGTAGTTTTAAAAGGTAGCAGTTTTTTTTTTTCTTTTACTCTTGTAGCACCTGGCGGTTAATGACTAGTGTTTTCTTGTGTGTGGCAACTAACAATTTGACGCAGCAATGAGAACCGAAGGTAGACTGTCTAATTTTTCCATCTGACAGCCGTGGAAAGTGTGAAATGCGGACAGCTGTGTGTGTGTGTGTGTGTGTGTGTGTGTGTGTGTGTGTGTGTGTGTGTGTGTGTG